ATTTTAAAGAGGAATGATCAACTGACCATTTGGCTGTTCGCTTACTGCAGAGCCACGATTATTTCGGAATCCAAATCTATCCCGCCCCCGTTTAGCACATATAGGCACTACGCTTATCATAGCTACGGACATGGTGTTGCTATGGGGTTGTTCATACTTTCTGGACAATATCCGACTAATGCCCTCCAAGGAGCAAATATCAATCCAAGCAAACACCAAGCACCAAATCAAGCTACGATCTCTTCTGACCCCCTTAATAACAATAAACTCATAGACGTGTTTGTTAAATCTTGAACATTTATTGTAAATGAATTCTTAGTAGAGACGGCTGCAAGCAAACGAGTTTTGACACTTTCAACAGACGCGCAGACAGTCAAATGTCATATATATCGGCATATACAGATTGAAAGTCAGATCAGTCAGTCAGTCTAGAAATGGAAGAAATCAAAATCGTATTTCATATAGTAGCGTTTGCTTGTTCCTTCGTAGACGGTAAGGCGTAATTATCAAGAATTATTTCATATGTTCACTATCACTTTAAAAGCATGAGTGTTGCACTGACGACTGAGATATAGATATCGATCTCGCTTTGTGTAGGGAGTCGAGAACGCTTCCCAAATATCTCAGAAATCTAATATATATTTATGAAGGATATAAAAAATTCTGGGTAATGGTGCCGCCAGTAACTCATTGGCGGTTCCTATTCGAGCTCATTTTCTGGATTTCTAAGCGTTTTGAAAATAAGGCTAAAAGTCGTTGTTTCATACGAAAGTTGTTTTTTTCTTGCAAAAGCCTTAGTCCTCTGCTAAGCTAAGCTAACTCATTTCAACCCAACTTCGCTTCAACATATTTCTTTTTGGCAAGCACAGTCTATGCCCATCCACGACCCTATAAATGCTCAACATTTGATATATTTTGCGGGGTATTTGGAAACTATTATGCCTTCCCGATGTAGGGAAATATAACTAAAACAGATTTATGCGCTTAAACTGTAGATTTAAAAAGGAAGAATGAAATAAAAAAAAGACATTGTGTACCCAAAAGTATAATAAAAAAAAAGGTCATTTGAATTTAACAAATGTTACGTCATAATGCATTAATCATTTGCTAATAAATTTTACTGGGAAATGAAGGAAACGACAAGGCAGAGATTGAAAAACAGAATACTGGCTGGCTGTTGCGTTGGTTATATGACAAATAGTGCGGTAAGTAGGGAAAGAGTTTATGTATATAATTTACGTAAATTACGGATTTAAACGAGAATTTGTCAAATGACGAGAAAAAAATAAAATTAAAAATACATATGAAAGAAGAATGAAATGATAAATAACGAATGCAACAAAACGATTTATATATTAAATGTAGTGGAGAGGAAAAAAAAATTAAAAAATGATTAATGATCTTGAGCATTGCATTACATACAAAAATGTACATTTAATGATTTAAAAATTTTCATTTTATTAGAAGATAACTTTAAAGTTTTAAATTATTTTATTCGACAAAATTTTTCCTCTCCATTACGTTTTCTGTTTTAATTGTTTTGGAAAATTGGGTGTGTATGAACTGAAAGTCTTAGTAAAAGGCATCGAAAACTAATAAAAGAATTTGTAAAGTAAATGAATGAAAATGATGCAGATTTCTCGTTAAAAGCGAGCAACATGTTCTGTTAAGTTTCTTTGAACTTACAAACATACTAGTAAGTGATTTACATGTACATCTCTCCTCATCATTAATGTTTAATTAACCATTATAAAGATTAACTTCACAGGGTTTCGTATGCGTTCTAGATTAGCATAAACGGCGGACTCGATTTAATCTTATCTGTCTTTCGCGTCTTTCTTATACTATCACAAAATTTTATTTAGATGAGGAACAGTGGCGCCAGGTAGTTTCTGATAAATTTCATTACGTTCTATTAAAAGTCGTAAAAGACATATCAACGCTTGGATGTTGGATAACATGGTTTGTATCAACACAAGTAAAGCTAAGGCTTTACATTCTAATTATCCGCGAGTACTTTGCTGAATTAAATTAAACGGAAGAAGAGAGAGAGCAAGAGAGAGGTTGATTCTATGAACCACAAGCTAAGTCTTGGGGGTCGTGAAAATCCCAAATTGCGGAAAAGTTAATTTTGATTCGTAGCTGTCACATTGTTTGCGAATCCTCAGCCGCTCACAGATTTGGCACACACACACACACAAATACGGCCACTACCTCTTTATCTCTTCCTTATTTCTTACTTTTTCTTGAGTGTCGCCGTGTTACACGAGTATAGGGCTCCGCTGGAATGATTGGTCATATTTAAACAAAGAAAAAAATCTTCTAGATCGCAAGCTTAATTTTGGCACCAAAATAATATCTCTGCTAAATCATATCCTACATAACGAAAATTATAGAAACCTACCCAAGTTAAGTAAGTATATTATTGCGGACTCGGGTGTGACGGACGTCATATCAAAAAACTATTAACTGAATCATTGCCCTTACAAATAATGAGAGCAAGCAATCGGATGGCTGCTAACTAACACTGCTGCTACTGTTAATGATAACAGCAACGTAAAAAGTCCGTAGCAATCTCTTAGTTTGAATTTTGCGCAAGATGTTGGACTACCTTGTCATTTAGTTATCTCTAGCTGTATCGATTATAGTCTATGAGCAAAAAATGCATTTTTTTTTTACTTTTGAAAACAATCTCTCCCTCGTACTGTATCCTTTGAAAGATTTCGCCCATTTTCAATATCCTCCAATGCTTAAAACAACTTCCATTAGCTTTACCAGATTTGGAGCTGATATCTTAATTCTTGCGACGAAAAGAATACTTATCGCAAACATCGACAGTGACATGCACATACGAACATAAGGACAGATATTATGCCTGGACTTACACATCAATTCAGAAATTGAGATAGATCGGTAATGTGTACATTTTACATATGAAAACTGAACCTTCTTTTTGAGATTTTCAAACGTTGTGACAAAGTGAATATACCCCTTATATATCCTTTCGTGGGAAATGTGATGATCAAAAAAATTGTAGAAAGACAAGAGAACCGAACAAGAGAGAAAACTTAAAAGATGAAATAGAAAAATCCGAAGACCGACCTCTTTGTCGTGTGGCGAAACTGAAAATCGTTTTTGTGTAAAAGGTTTCAAGGTTTATATCGGTTTTAAATGGAGCATAAGGTAAGGTGAAAATGTTTATATGCATGCAAGTGCATGTCTAGCAACTTGTGAATAAACATGAAAGCAACAAATGCAAATTTTTTTTTTCCTCAAAAAAGTCGCGAACATACTTGCATGAGAAATAGAAACCGTAAAAATTCCTTCTATTTTCTTATGTACCGTTGATTATTGATGTGGTGTGCATTTTAAAAAGCGAATGAACTGTGAACATCAGTAGACATGTACAAATATATGAAGAAGTTTTACCTGAGAAAGAATGGAAGTACGGGTGGAGGGGGGTGGGGGGGTTTGGTTTGGTTTGCGGGAAATAAATAAAGTTAGAAGTGATGATAAGAGAAGAAACGCAAGCCACAAATCCATTTGAACTGAACTAAACCAATTCATATGGGAAATGCTTGAAAAATTGTTCGTGGGATTAATACAAACTATTCTCAAATACATACGCAACAATTTATGGAAATGCATGTTCAAGTTTGTTCAACTTAGAATATATGAATGAAATAACGGATGAATGCCTTCGTGTGAACGCATTAAAATCTTTAGTTCAAATGTTGCCAGCAATATAAGGCGATTGTTGATGTTTTGTAGAGGCTTGATGATGGTTGAAACGGTATTTTTGTGTGTGTTGATTGTTTATGATGGTAATGTTTTAATCTAAAAGTCAACATTTAAACGGAAACGGAAACTTTAAAACACACTACCGCAATGTTAACAAAACATAAAAGTGAACAACTTAATACAGCTTATAGGTTTATATACATACATTACTCATGCATATATACAAATATATATATATATATTTATTTATATATATATATATATTTATATATATATTTATCTATATTTATATATATATATATATATATATATATATATGTATGTGCTTGTGTTTTTATGTGTAATGTATGTATGTATGTTTGTATTGAAGTAGAATAGATCCACATGCAATTGTTTATACTTGTGCTAAGATTTGAATGTAAACGACGGACAAAAACAAAACGATGTAAACCAGAATAACCTAAAATTTAACAAACATAAATGTTTGAAATGTAAACACAAATAAAAGCAAACAAAAACCAAATTAAGAGAAAAAAAAAGTATATAAAAAAAGAAATAATAATTAAAAAGAAAGCATCGAAGGACGGTGTTGGAGACACATGAAAGGAAAAACAAAGCAATTTAAATTATAAATGTAAAGTAAACAGTTGTTGTATTAATATTAATGAGAGATCATAAACAAAAAGGAGGAGGAAACAAAACTTAAAAGGCTACTGAATAGTCCCATAGTTAGCATAATTCCAGACATAGGTTTAGAATGTACATGTCACAGGATATATACGACAATGAAATGAATGACAGATTTTTGATGTGCTGCAAACATATTGTTATACATTTGCATACAAAAACCGCAAATGTGCAACTTGTGGTTCGCCCTTTGCTCGTTCACATCATCGCCAATAATTGCCGTCATCTTCAACATTTTGTCATCATTGACTGATGGTGTTTTAGGTTCAGAGAAACGATAAAAACGCGAAATAACAGAGGAAAAAAATTTAAACGAAAAAAAAAAAAAAAAATTTACTAAAAATACCTAAAAAAAATCCACCCACCCAAAAAAAAAAACAAAAAGAGAAGAAAAACTGAAATAACGAAACACGAAATAAAGTAAGAAAATCTCGGTGTTTTTTGTGCATAAACTGGAGAACAACAACAAGAGTGTAAAGCCATAATTGTGTATTCGTTGGGTTTTTCGCTTTTTTTTTTTTCTGTTATGCGCTAGTGTAGCAATGAACTCACATTTTACAAGAATACCTCACCTGTAGATTGGTTAACAGAGCTTGAAAGTACGGCATTGTTAGCAAAGTGCTTGTGTGACGACTACCACCACTGCTGGCACTGGCAGGCTGCGGCAAACCATCCTGGGCCTGCTGCACTAATTGAGAATGCTGTTCAAATATATGTCCACATAGTACATATTGTTGAGCGGGGGATGGTTGGTTAGTTAGTTGGTTGGTTGAAAGCAGAAAAGCAGTGTTAGAGGGCAATAGATAGCATACAAAAGAAAAAGATAAGGAAAGAACAACAATAAATACTGGAAAAAATATTCTTATGCTTAGTAATCACTTAATATTAACGCTAACTTAATTTTTCTTGAGCGCTAGGCAACTCCATATGCTTAGTTGTTGCTCGCTGGCGCATACGTTTAGGAGGAATGATGCTTGTAGAAGCTGACGTATTCTTTGCGGAGAAAAAGATCGTGAAAATGACATCACAGAGGCGGTCACATCTTATGCATCATCTTTTCTTTTTTTTTTCCAAGACTCGGCCGCATTGTGTAAATAGACTCTGCAAAATTTTTCAACTTCTACTTGCACTTCTTAAATAATAGAAAGTGAAAACAAAAGTTATAGCGGCAGCATTCACAGCCGCGATACGTCGATAAGTAAACTTACTTCAACTCAAGCACTTTATAAAAGCCAGGAAAAAAAAAACAAACAAGAAAATTATGTTCGACGATGACCGAATCTTTTATACCCATTCCCGTAATCGTAAAGCAGACTCAAAAAAAGAACAAGAACTAAATTTTCATGCTCTATAAAATCAGCTATGCGCGGCTGATTTTTCCTATTTTCAGAATAAAATTGGACATTTATGCGGTGTACGTGTTGTGCTTTATGAGCAAAAAACACGGAAAACATAGATGTTTAGTTATTGTCGCATAAGCGTGCGGGCTTTGGAGGCGTGTCTTTTTAAAAGTCGGGATGAATTTCAAACTCTTCTGCAAGTTTGCAGGCGACATCCTCATTTTTGCGACTGGCAAAGGTTTTATCATTTATACTGCACAGTTGGGCAGAGGGATAGGCGGACAAGAGGACAGCCAGACATGCTTAAGGGCCTTTGAAATGGGCAAAGAATTTATAAATTTGAAGGAGACATTAAAGCTTCCTTCTGCGGGGTATTGAAAAAAAATTCAGTTTCGATGTACTGCACTATTGAGTGGGCGTGGTCAATTTTCACCATCGTGGCCGGTAGAATATATATTGAAACTTTTGTCCATTGGCCTGCTGTACTTAACAAGAAAAAACTCCATTTATTTTTTGCTTTTTAAAAAACAGAGTTGTTCTCAGTCTACGTGGTACTGCAGGCGTGTTTTTCGATTTGGCCCAAATTCAATGCCAACCAAAATCAAATGTTTCTGTCAGGTTTGAAGTCAATAGCGTCATTTTAGCGGACCAGGATAATGTTTCCAACAGACATAGCATAAACGAACAGACAGATTTGCTTGTTTCTTGCTGATAAAGATTATATGTACTTTGCGGAGTCTCTTAAGCTTCCGTGTGGGCGTTGCGAAGGTTTTGTCAAAATGAATAACACGTGAATGCTAAGTGTATCAAGAATTTGCGTACATTACTTTAAATGTGCATTTCTGCGCACAGCAAATTCATTTCAAATCTCATGCTTTAACACTAGATTTACGTCATCCGTTAATTTTTTTAATTTTAAGATTAAAAACTTTACATAAGAATGTAAATATTTTTAGACATTATATATTTCGATTTTTAATGATATAATGCAGTGAAAATGTGTGTCTACTCTTTCTTTCTGGAATACACCCAGTTTGTTATTTCTGGATCTTATGAATCTATTTCTACCAAAACCCGTCAATTTGACGGGTAAATTTTGCGAATCGTCATTGTCGCAAAACTGAAGATATGGCTTTAAAAAAATAGCGCGGGTTAGTCACATATATGCCACCATAAAGCAAAACAAACCTAAACAACCTCAGAAAACACAGACAATTTTTCCAAATTTTCATTCACGACTTCCGAGCCCATAAATATTGTTACTCAATTGTTTGTCCCACAAAACCTGTGTATGTTCGATGCAAAAATGGTCCCTATGGGTTTTCTAATTCGTCTGCAATTAGCAGCAAAATTTTAATTCAAACTTATTTTCAATTTTTTTTCGCATCTGTTCTAAACACAATGAACGCATTTGCAGCATATCATCATCTATCAAAATAGAAGAACTGCGGTATATTGATTTTGCCATAATGTTTGCAACAACCCAATGGAGGCTTTAAAAACCTTACAAAGTAAGCTCAGTGACACATTCTGAATCGATCTGTCCTTATCTATTCGTCTATGCGTATTTGTTGATGTGTATGCGCGGAACACGCATACAGTAAACCGTAAACTGAGGTCATCTTCGCTTTCCTAAACAAAAATTTAGGAGGAAAGTTGAAATTTTCTAAATTTAGTTAATAGGGGCTGTAATATTCATGTTCAGAAAGTAATAACAATCTGCCACGCCCACAGAAAGTTATGCATGATCTAATTTTCATTTTTTTCACTTATTGACTTTTTCCATTTATTCGGACGAGTCGTCATGAGTAACTTTCGATGTAGCTAGGTAGAATCTATTGTTCGCATTTATCCACTATACCGCAACAAACGCATTTTTGTTTTTACTATATAGACGAGGATTTAGTGGTCTGCCAAATTCTTTGTGCGATGCATATTACATGCACCTGTTTTTTCATAAAGTGAGTCATGACGGATATACAAGATTCGTTCCAATCGAAATATAACTTTCGTATTTGTTTTTATAAGTTTTTCACTACAGCAATGCAACACAAGCAATATGTTCAACTACATATAAACAGGTACAATCAGTGCGTGACACAAAGACAATAATGTGGAATTGAAACAAATTAAGGGTTCTAGGTTTTAGGTACATACAGAAATACAAACACATTGAAAAATGTTATGTCATTATAGTCCCATTAAACGTAATCGCTTTCACACGAAATGATTGTTATGTAAGTTTATTAATTGCGATAAATTTGTAAATATTTTGTTAAATTGGAAAAAAAAATTTGATCAGAAAATATTCCATCGCAAATAGTTTGGATTTTTTTTTTTACGTAATTTAATACAACAACATTATGGAGTAAATGATATTCGATCGTATTTGTATATATGACTTATTGTTGGCGTGTTACGTGATATGAAAAGTAGTTTCGTAAGTTATTATTACATCTCTGTAGGAACAATTTGGAGAGTTTTACTATTTTATTACAGATGGCAGATGGAAATCGCAATGTAAAGTGGAGTGAAAAATTGGGCAAGTTGGAACTGGCGAATTTATTTTTTTTTTCGAACAGTCAGTTTCGTTTGTCATTTTATTAACAATAATCACTTTTTTGAGGACACGTGGGCTTAAATACGAAATTTGAAATTGAAGAGGTTGCGTTGTTAAAACAGCTGTTGTGTTAAAAACTAAGAAGCTTTATATTAGTAGTATTACGTAATTTAGCCAGAGAATAAATTCTAAAGGCTAAAGTCTTAAAGCACTAGCATCTAAGGCTTTCGGCTTTATTAAAAACTCTACCGCACTTGAGATTTGAACCCACGACCATTGACTTGCTAGTCGAGACTCTTGCCTACTCGGCCACTCAGGCGGATATATTATTATTAGTAAATCAGCAATTTTGCATTAAATAAGTATCTTCCTCTTGCATTAATCAACCTGCTTCGAACTGCTTCAAATTCGTTTACATACACGTTCGCAAGTGTTTAAACGCCGGCTAATCATTGTTATTTTTGCCCCCTTTGGTACACTCGTGCTTTTAAGCAAATCCTTGCTGAGTTCAAATATTGAAAGAGGCGGCTTTTTACATTTGAAAACTTCTGGAACTATCCAGAGTATAAAAGAGAAGAGAGAAACCAGAAAAATGTCTGCCAATATCCGCAGAATTTAAAAGAAACTTTTATATGCAAGTCATTCAATCAATGCAAAGTGATAAATAATTTCTGGAAGCGTTGCGCCCACTCTCGCGGATCTGATAAAAATGATACGTGAATAAATATTGCGAATTATGCGCAAGTGAAAACAGATAATTTGTGCGCGGACAATTCAACACTTTTTATTGCATTTTTAACGGTTATTAAGAGGAAGGAAGAAGGCGGCCTTTAATATTTATTTTAAAAGGAAAAAAATAATTGAAAAGTTTGCATCTTCCCATACTTTTATATAATTTCAGATAAACTCGTCTGTTATCATGGATGGTAGAAGATCCGATCTCAAATATATTGCTTCCATAGTACGCTCCATAATCAATGCAATTAAGCAGCCTTGTTTCCTTCGCGATGTTCTTGCGTATTATCCAGAGGTTGAGAATACTCCCTTGCCATACCGGAATTTGGGTTATGAGACACCAGAAGACCTTTTAATGGAAACAGGCGAATTCACTTTTGAGAGAAGTAGCAACGGTGACGTATGTTTACGGAAAGACATCGGCAATAGTGCACATCTAATTTTTGATTCGTTTTTGCACAGACTGTCATTAACGCTAAACTTAATGAGAAATCTGCCCACATTGTTGCTCTCGTTAGAGATCAAAAGGCAAATAAACCTTCGCGCGTTCTTGCAAGAAAGCCAATGGGTCTGTCTAACAGGTGTATTGGTGGAGGCACTAAATTTGACCATCGAAATAGTAACAGTTCGCGAGTTATCGACCAATATAATGGGCTTTCAAAAGGGCTTCACAAAACAACTCTGTATGCCACTTATTTGCCAAGAATCTCCTTGTTAAACAAGGGGAAAATATTGTATATTAATTGCGATTTTTTCTTTTAATGTTATATGTGTTTAGAGAGATGCCTTCTATTCTAGTAGATAGTAGGGAAGCGCAATTGAAACATGTTACTTCCATAGTACGCTCAATAATCAATTCACAGAAACAGCCTTGTTTCATGCGCGATGTTCTTACGTATTATCCAGAGGTCGAGGGAATGCCTTTGCCTTACCGAAGTTTGGGTTATGAGACACCAGAATACTTTTTAATGGAAACAGGTGAATTCACGTTTACCACTAGCAGTAATGGTGATGTATGTTTAGGGAACAGCGTTATAAAACATGGCATATCCACTGAATATTCTAATTTGTTTGATTTTTGCAGACTATTATATATTAGGGGATTTGATGATGCATTGGAGAGCAATATCTTAGGTGTTTGCAAAAATTTTCGGTAAGCGACTTCTGCAGGTAAAAATGATGGGAAATATCAGTGGGCATAACAATTGAATTTGATGGTTTTCATCTTCCTCTAATATCATTGATTTATTCAGCGTAAACCCTTTTGTAAAAACATTACAGGATTTGTGATTAAGTGGCTGATCATATGATGGGTGTTTTATCAATTGAGTAGCGTATATTCGTTCTCATTTTTTATGCATGTATTGTAGAACTTTACAAAATAAGCGTATATTCGTTCTCATTTTTTATGCATGTATTGTAGAACTTTACAAAATAAGCGTATATTCGTTCGCATTTGTTATGCATGTATTGTAGAACTTTACAAAATAAGCGTATATTCGTTCTCATCACTGCTAAATATAATAATAGTTCTGCTCCCATTGTTACCTTTGTTAGTGAACAAAAAACAAATAAATCATCGCGCGGAGGAAAATTTGGTTTTCGTAACATTAATAGTCCGGATCATACTAACAAAGGACATCAACGTCGGAAACCATACAGTCGTTCATTGCAATCTACAAAACCTGTCGGTGTTGAACTAAGGTTACACGCACGCTTGTCCCGTACACACAGACATGTTCACTGTTCAAGGGTAAATGCTCTCAGAGAAGTACTTGGAGAAATTGAAAGATTTCAGAATACAAATAGATCCAAGTTACAGGAGAAAAATCGATGTCAAGTACAGAAACAGGGACCAGTAGATCCTATATATAAATGGCTTTAGGAAACAATGTCACTTTCAAACAAAGTAATTATAAGAGAGACAACGACTATGAAAATGAAAAGGGTTTTCATGAGTAAAAAAAAAAGAAGATATTTCTTTCATTTAATCTAAGCAGTTTTGAAAACAATTTTCGAAGCTTTCTGTAATTATCCACACGTAAAAATAATTGCATACATGAAAATCCCAATTTGTACGTTTTGTTGTACGTATTGTTCGGCTTTATTATCGCATACGTAATTTTCCAAAGTTTATTTTTGCCATTTCGTTATTTTTTTAATCAATAAGTTAGTAAATTCTCAATAAATTAATTATTTTTTATTTTTTAAAACGTTTGTTAAAAATTTAATTTAGACTTTCGCTCAATTATTTCTGAAAATAGTTTTTATTAGATAAAAATTTATCAAATTACTATAGTTTGGTTTTATTTTTAAATATACGTTACTTAAGAAATTTTAAAAATCTCTATGTAACCGAAACTAAACAAGTAAGCAAATTATATTTTGCTGCGACTTATCCTTTAAAAACACCCTTGTAAAAATAATACGAAAAAACGAACATACAAGAAAACCACATTCGATCCATATTCGCTTGCGGACGAATCTCTTCTACCCGTCACCATCATTCTAAAAAACGAAAGTTATCGTGTATCGTATTTACGAGTAGGGAGTTGAGGGAACATGTTTTTTGCCCTCAATATTCGTCGCATTGTAGGCGCGTCCCATGATTAGTTTGGATAATTTTTAAATTCTTTTGCAAATTTATAAGCGATGTGTATATTTTGCGAACGAGGTTACGTTCACCACAGACACAGACCGACATGTTTAAACGCGTTCTGAATTTGAAACTGGTCAAGCGCACATATATACACTTCTTAGGAGGTTTTCGAGTTCGGACGTTGAAAACCAATCTGAATTGTCGTGCATTATAATATAGCCGATATTTTTCGTTTTTGTACAGATGCTACAGCGTTGCTAACTGAATACTCAGAACCTCATTTATAATTTTTGCCTCATATCTTCTATTATTATAATCAATTTGTCATTGTAGTGTCGAATTGAAACTGAACTATATAATCGTAGTGAATAGCAAGAAATAGTAACGAGCCTGAATCACCCCGCAACAATAAATCGACGCATAAAGGCGACGCTTTTGCACTTGAAATGATGCAAAAAATGTTTTATTTAAAGGAATTTTTATCGCACTTTAACAAACGCGCCCATCATCCATATATTCAAAATGAAATCATCGACATGATCACTTTTTAAATATATCCTCCTAAATATGCATGCATCTATCTCTCTAAAGGCATTCAACATGGAATTGGTTTATTGCTTTATTTTTCTTTGGAGGAAAAAGATTTCTTTAGATGCAATCTTTTTCGTGTGTTTGGCTTTTTTAAAAAATTTCCAAATAGCTTTAGTTTTGTAATTAACAAGATTTTTTTTTTGTTCGAATCTGGACGACTATGTGGTGATTATAGCCATCAGAAAGAAAGATCGCTGTTTGCTTATTTTATACGTACCTAAAGATCGTATTTGTTTTGATTACCTAAATAATCGTATAAGAATCTTACCTCATCTTCCATTCTACTGCTGTCCGCATGTTGCAGTACACCATCTGATTTAGAACGACTACTACTACGTTCTCTTCCTCCTTCAGTAACGCCATTATTTAGCTGCTGCCGTTGCTGTTGTTTAGATTGCGGATTGTATGTTCTTTATACCATAATCAAACGAAAGAATAAATGACATAATGAAATAAACAGGTTTAGATGTAAAGAAGAAAAGAAATTATCCTTGCAAAAATGTGTCAATCGCAGCACAAGTTTCTTGCGGATTGCGATGACGATATTCGTTAGATATATACTCGTTTTTGCGCATTTCCGTAAGTGCCGAAAAAGAATAATAAAAAAAAAAGTGTACATTTCACATCCCTTAGGTACCTTGTACTTTGCAGAATTTATAATTGTTCTACTAGCGCCCCAAAAAGTACGTTAAACGCATGTTTGTTACCCGTTCTATCGTTTAGTTGAATATCTAAAAATCATATAAGCTGGTATAGGCAAATACAGCTTGATTCATTTATCATTAAAGATCGAGTCAGATAATTGAATTCTAAATGCTTGAAAAATGTAACCAAGAAATAATTCAAAATTTGTCAAATTTTTTTGACTTCATTTGCGTTATTTTAATTTTCCTTTGTCTTGTAACAATACCAAGAACGTGTAGTTTAGCGGTCCTGTTTCTGTGATTTGACTTAATGAACGAAGAAAACTTCTCAGTTTCTTAGCAAATGCATATTTGATTGACGGAATGTTTACTTTGTTTACAACAATCGTAAAACATAGTGCCGCAGTGGGGTAACAATACGTGCACAATGATAGTATGGAATAAATTCATTGTTTAGGGTGCAAAGAAGAGCTCTGAATAGATTTCCAAATTGTAATTATACTAACAATTAGGAAAAGATGGTACAGTTTTTCCAGAATGAATTGTCTTAAGCGAAGAGCGAATATTCTATAAGCGGAAAATCTCAATCTTCTACTAACATGTATTTTTAATTTATGGGACAGTTTGTCTGCAAAACTCACATTGGCTTTGGGTTAATTTCTTTATGTGAAATTATGTTCTACTTGGAATACTTTATAGTCAGCAATTCGACTAAGGTTGTTTGTTCTCTTATTCGACATACATATATTGTGTGGGATCTGCGAAAAATATTATTCGGCTTTACAATCATATTAGTAATTCCAATCCTCTCGAGGTAAAAACTATTTTTTAAAAATCTTATGCAATACTAACTTAGGGTTTTCGATGTTACGTTGAACCCATAAAAGATCTTCGCTTGTCTCGCTTATAACTAACGTATTCAAAGACGCGTTTGCCTGGCTTAGCATATTATTTGAAAGGTAAAAAATCTAAGGAACTTATTGAAAGTGTAAACAGGAAATATTTGAAGAGAAAAACAAGAAAAGATTTATTTTAATTCTTTAAAGAATTTTAATTCTTTATTTGCTTTATTTTAATTCTTTAAAGAATTTTAATTCCTTATTTGCTTTCGCTAATTATTCTGCGAAGTGCATAAGTTGAAATATAAAGTTATATATTATTTAAATGAAAATGTTGAGCAATATAGAAAACGACTTGAAATAATATAATTTTAAAATTTGCAAAAAATTCCCTCCAATTTTTCCTATTTTTCTCTTCCCAACATATGATGCGAGTGTTTCATTCCTTTGTCCACACAAAAAACCAGATGAGTTGTGCATTAGCCGAGAGCTTTTAGTCGAGTGACTGTCATCTGTTAATTTTATGTAAATATATTTTTTTTTCCTTCGCCAATTTTGCAGAATTCTTTTGAATGGACATGTAAGCCGTCCTTATTGGCTGAGTGCAGAAAAATGCTTCGAAAAGTCTTCGAAAACATTCCTATTAACGCATTTCAATGCACATAACTTATATACACTCGATAAGCCAACAAAGATTTTTCGTGGTTTCCGCTTAAAATCAATTATTAATAAACGGGCAACGCTTGTGTTTTTTTTAACCCTAAAGTTTCTTCATAAATGTTTAAAAGTTAAGACATTTTTTATTCACGAATTCTTTTTTTTTTTTTCTTAAAAATCTATTGAAAAATACTTACCCGTTATCCAAGGTTATCATGTCGGCTGCTAATAAAGATCCTGAACCGCTTCTTTCACGTACCAAGCGATCTGCCCCAAAAAAATTTCAAGCTTTCATTGCTGACAATTATTAATTATGAATTAATTACCTGCTTCATATCTTTCTAAATCTTCCGGTTGTTGCCCTGGCTTAGCCTTAACCTCAATCAGAATTTCTGCACTGCTTAATCCGGCGTGACACGAGTAAACGCCGGCATCGCGGAAAGTTATGTCTAAAATTCTTAAGGCACCTTTTTTGGAAACTTTGAATTTTCGCGATTTAATTAAAGGTTTGTGATCCTTGCTCCATTTAATTTTTGTTCGATTATAACGTTTAACGGGACATTTGATTTTCACTTGTGTGCCGAAGAATACTACACCAGCACCGCCCACTTTCAAAGTGATTTTCGTTTTCTTCGGATCGTGTTGTATATGAGTGGTATTGCTAATCTGTATAACTGGCTTAGGATCTTCGGGTGGACAAGGCTTTACATTGCAAGGTTTTTTATCGGATGGTTTGGCACTCGGACACATGGTTTCGGGTCGTTCGATTTTATGTTCCTGAGCCATGATCTGCTTGCATTCGACTTTGCGTTCCTTAATACCGTAACCGCAGGTGTGCGAGCATTTCGACCATTCGCCTACTTCCCAACGAACTGGACAATCGAGGACATTACAGTACTGGCGATCGGCCGGTGGCGGTTGAGGGCACATACTGTTCGGCACCACCATGGTATTCTCACCGCCACGCGTTACTTCATGTATGCACTGAACTTCGCGCGTTTTAATGCCAATGCCGCACGATTTCGAACAAGGCGTATAGTCTGAGTAATTCCAGCGTGGCGGGCAAGGGCGGTCATTGCAAGTTCGTACTCGGGCTTCTGGCTTAGTCTCAGGCGAGCATAAAAATGGGGATACAACTCGACCGTTATCCTCGCGTACGCAATTAATAATTAATTCCTCTACGCCACCCAGGCAACTGGCACTGCAAGAGGTATAGCCTTGTTCACGCCAAACATAGGTTTTTCCTGGCTCAGAAACACCTACTTTTATCGAATCCCGTGGATATTGATCTTCGTAGCCGTGTGAAGGCAACATGCAAGCCTCCTCAACGCAACGTTCCACTTCATCGTGAGGACGCGCACCTTCGCACAAGGTATCGTTAACCATGGCCAATGTACGAGAATATTCCAAAAATATCTTGCAACGGTACGTCCGTCGACGTATGCCTTCGCCACAAGTAACGCTACACGGCGACCATTCAACATCCTTAATGAAACTAAAAGAAAGAATTTTTTAAGAAATGCAAAAAACCAAAAAATCTTTTGTAAATTGTAAAAGGAGAAGAGAAGAATGATTGCCAGAGAGCAATTGCTATGTAAGCAACATTCTTGTCATTACAGACTCCAGCTTGGCGCGCCTTAAAGGCGACTTATCTACATCCGCTTGCCAGAAGATTATCAAATTTTGTATTTCAATAAATTTTTTGCCAAAAGTATTCTTTTTTCCGTTAGTTTTACTAACGCGGCTTAGTAACGTTTCATAATTGTCCGTTTGTTTAGCAACATACGTAGGAGCCAAAAAAATGATTGAATGCATAAAAATGCTGCCTTAAGTTTGCGTGAAACGCACAATAATAACCATATAGAGCGCCAGGAGAAATTGTTTGAAAACGGTTGACAATCTAAAATAATTTTGTATAAATAATCTGAAATAATTTTAATAAAAAAAAAATGCCAGATTATTTTTTTAATAATTTTCTCCTTTAAGAATCGATAATCAAAGCATTCCCGCCTGGTTACTTCAAATCACTTTAAGTTTACGAAGTACTATATTTATGAAATTTATATGTAAAACTTTTACTTTTATTATTATTATTATTATTATTATTATGAGAGTTTTGCTTTTTGTATATCTAGCCAGCCGTCCGTCGTGCAAAAAACTTTAATTTCTATTTTTATTATTTATGACCGTGACAAATAATAAATTATAGTTGGCGCCAGTGACCAAACTGGAAATAAACTACTATTAGAATAAATGATTTTTCGTTTGCTTATTGTTTGTTATACGAAATCAAATTTGAAACGACGCGACGAGAAGATGAAAGAACCAAGGAATGTAATATAGTTAAGGAAATGGACACAATGGATTTGAGTTCTATTCAAATTAAGCTAATGATCAAATAATTACAAAGCAAGTGAAGAGTTACTATTAAGATTTTTTAATTACTCGGTTACTGCCATAGCAAATTTGTATTATAGCATACGGTATAAAGATATGGGGAATTGCAGTTGAACATTAAATTAAATGGAAGTGAATGCCCATATGCGTGCTTTTGTACATTTAGTTGCCATTAATTTAACTAGAAATACTTGTTTATTCAACAACAAAATGAAATTAAAACGAAAACGTTATTACATTTAAATTCAATTAATTACGAAAATTCAATTAATTTGACTACAGAAATCGGATTTAATATTGACCAGTGAACCTGTGCGGACTATTTACCCAATCTTGTCAATTAAAATCTATTCGAAATTTATTCGATTTCTTGCTAGACGTTGATTGTAAAATTAATTAATAATGAATTTTACTAAACTTTTTTTTAGTCATTGTAGGAAGATAAGAGAAAGCGGTAGATATTATTCCAATTACTTTCATTTTGAAAAAGTTGGCCCTTTTTTTGCAATGAAGGCAACCGCCAATAACATAGAACAGCAACGGCGGTCAGTTCGTGGTCGTGATACGGTTTATATGTGGTCTTCATGATCGTAGTGTGTTTGAGATTTTGCAACCACGCAATTTGGCGACTTGCTCTTCTATATCTTCTCCTGTGTTAAAGCTTGTCAACAATAATACGTATAAGTATTCAAAGACTTTTCAACTATTTCATAAGACACTTCCATGCACTTGTACTCCACTAAATTAGTGCTGCGTTGTATCATCTTGGGGCTAATTACTTAGCTGAAAGATAGCTTTCGCTTTGATATTCAGCCGTTTTTGTCAAACAGCTGAACAGAGAAACGAAAGTTAGATTTTTAATACGTGATTTGAAGAAGAAGAACAAAATCCCGCACCGTTCGCCTTAAAAGTCGAGGTAATTAAATAAAACTGGGAGCTTAAATGAAACTCGGGAAAGGTGAAAATGATTTTAATTGCGTGGCGGATGTCATAGCTGGCATAACATATATATCTATGTGCATTTACAAGCAAGCTGTCTGCCAATTTTATTAAGATTCAAACAAAGAATCTTTTGTTTGCATTAAATCCTTTTTCACTCAACTCATCAAGCCATCTGATGTTGATTTGCTGACGACTCACAGAAGAAGAAGAACGTCTAACGAAAGCTTCACGTCATATGATTCTCGAGTATATGTAAATTGGAAATATTTTCTAATATTTGGACATTTTTATGACGATGACCTTGTTGTAATGATTGTTATTGCCGCAAGAATATTACCACGAAGTGCGTTCTTTATAAGGTGAAGGCCCATTGCTGTGTTGATTTGAACCAAGAGACAATGCTGAACGCTTAGATAATATATATTTTTTTAAAATTCTTAAGGAACTCTTCGCGAATAAGACTCAACATGACTTTGGTTTTTGACGTTGATTCGTAGCTGGTTTCCCTTTTGCCTTTAGCATGACATCCATTTAATTTTTGATTTTCTGAATCGTAAGCGTAGTCATGACTAATTAAGCATTTCGGCTTATGGACAAAGTTCATCGTTCTTCAACCATGATTATATATGTAGCCTTAAAAAAATGATCTCAATGACGGTAGCCGTTGCGTCTCATAGGATTTTTGTGCATAACTTTGATTTTTGTGTGATTTTGCAAGTGGATTAGTGAAAAAGTTCAACATACCTTTAATGTTTAAATTATCGGAAAAGATTCTATTACATGCTCTACAGAATGTTGCTTAAGGGATACTGTAGAAATGAAAATCATACCGCGAGCCGATTTGAAAAATCGAACTTAATTTTTTTGATATTTGCCATAAACATAATATTTTTTATTGCTGTAATTCTTTTATTATTTACTTCCATTAGTTTGCCATCTTAGGTATTCCATATCTAACATTATTTATTCTTGCTCATTCTCTTTCCTCCCAGATTTTCTATTCGAAAGTGCCTTTTTTATAATAGCTTACACTGCATTTCAAACATACATAAACGGAAAAGTAAGTTTACTTCATGTTTTTATAACAAAAACCAAGTAAAAGGACTATAGGAAGTTGAGATCTACCATAAAATAGCCCACATCATCCTACAATTATCACAGCTGTTCAATTTAAGGCGTTATACGAGAAGCGGTCGAAAGAGTGGTTCGATTCGAACAATTTTCAATAGCATTCGACTTTAGGCTTAATTTCATCAAAATATCTTAAAACTTGCTGTCTGTGAGTTGCACAGGAGAAAACAAGACAGACAGATAAGTGGCTCTGATCTGGGTGTTATATACATAGGCAAAAACTTAATATGCCCTTGTACCGGAAATGGTTCAGGGTATAAAAGAAACAAAAATTGATGCCATTTTTTCTATGTAATTACTTTATCAAATTAGTTGCATTAAGTTCTAAACGATAGGCGAAACAATCGTCCCTTGGATTTAAGCTTAAATAATTTTCTCACTTACATTGGCTCTGAAGGTTCATTTTCATTTTCGTATTCATGGTATCGTGATGAATAGCTATTTGATGTTAAACTCATTGTCCTTGGACTATCCGGTTCTTCTTGATTTAAACGACTTATCGTATGATGCGAATACATAGAAGACGGTTGATCATTGTACGAAGAGCTGTCAATATCATCGGCGGAAATGTTATCGTCATCCATATCGCTTGAATCTTCCTCATCATCTTCATCTTCATCATCATCATCATCTGGATCGGCGTCATCATTAACCTTTATGTGCAAAAAAAAGGTTTTACTTTTATTTGCCATAAAAAACTTGTACTGAATGTTAAAGTTAATTACAAACATCAAAGAAAAATTGCTTAATAGATAAAATTACCCGAGGTCCGCTGCTACCGACAATAATTGTGCCGCCGCCTTTCATACTTGTACCGTCACAAGAAATGCCATTAGAACACTGTTGAACACTGGAGGGTTTCGTTAAAGGATCACATTTGGCGCTCAGACTGCCATCGGGCGATTTGCATTCAGCACCTCGCATTTGTATGCCTTGGCCACAGGATACGGAACACTGAGTATATTTATTTGAGACCACGTGCACAGACAATAACAAATGTACAGAGAGAGAGATAGAGAGAGAGAGAGGGAGAGAGAAAAGTAGAAGAAAAGTATAATGAATTATGGTGTTAGACACTTTTGCCCTTGTGCTTTGTTTTTGCTCTTCCGCACGTACACGATTGACTAATGGCAGAGAAAAGGACTTAAGATAATGAAAATAAAGGCAGTTGTATTTAATAACATTCCCAGACAAATCGTGTCTCGTGTATACTTTAAAAAAAAAAAAAAAAACCAGACAAGCAGTCATGTTGATCTGTGTCAGTCAGAAAATGAAGTCTTTTTTAATAAAAACAAATATGAAAGTAAGTAAAGAAAGTATTTTCCCGCCAGCAAAGTTTGTCTGTCTACCTCTCGTGTTGTCTATCTATACCTCATGCAAATAACATGAAATTTTCTAAACTTTTTCATATTAATTATAATCAGAAAGTAAAATTCTTATATATTATAAACAATTTCTGCATAGCTAGCTATTCGATTTACATACACATATATCTAGAATTGGAAAATTACCGTGCAATATTTTACCGTTTTGAAATATTTTGAAAGGCTTTTTTTCCGAAATGGAATTTTTTAAGTATGATAAGCTTACATAACTCGCTATCAGCTGAAGTTTTTTATTTCAGTTCCTAAAAACGTAATTAACGATAATAAAGGCAACGGGAAGAATGGATGATTATTCGCTTTAGTTCGTTTCATTTGCGCCTATCAACGCAAGCCAACCACTCACAATCAGAAAACAGCTGTTAGTATTAACATTAAAATTAATTCGTTTTAAAATCATTTTCTTAAATAAATTTTCTTATTTCTGTTTACAAGCATTTCGCGAATGTTTTCATACAGAATATAAGAAAAATATCTTTAATGAATTAGTAGATTCTCTCTAATTTATTGAAAAGCTTCTAAAATAAATGTTTTTCATAGGTGTTAGTTACCAGATGCGAATTCATAAACTTTGATTACCTTTTATCAAGCGGTAGGAAGGAACAGACGTAGTTAATAATCAATTGCAATTTTATTATTATTATTATAAATTTAGCCAGAGAATAAATTCTAAGGCTAAAGTCTTCAAGCGCTAGCATCTAAGGCTTTCGGCTCTATTAAAAACTCTACCGCACTTGAGATTTGAACCCACGACCATTGAGTTGTCAGTCGAGACCCTTGCCTACTCGGCCACTCAGGCGGATTAATTGCAATTTTAACTATGTACGTCGCCATTGTTTTTTTCCACTAAATAAGATTATTCGTATGTGTGTGTGTTATGTGGTTATGGGTAAGTTAAACAGTATATCTTCATTCTCAGATCATTCTATTATTCTATTGCAATTATTTTCTTGTACCAGGTCAGTGTGTATTTTATTTGAATATCACGAAATCTTATATTTTCGTTTAGCCCTGTAGCGGGATTACGACATATTATTAACGGCGTCTTCGTTTCGCAAACACTAAGAGCGAATCGTGCCAATATTTTAACATACATTTCTTAAGTATGTGTGTGGAAGGAAATGTGTATATATTCAGTCTTTCGATTTTTTAAAATCCGAACCGATTCACAAACTTGCAAGGCATGCCTCCCGTTCGGAGAAAGTGCTGTGAGCAGCAGCTTGTGAATTAACAACTAGTTTGGATAATTTCACGGAGGAATTTTTTATTTTCAAAACTCTTTACGCCTTTGTCAGCCAATCACTACTGACGGCGATGAAAATAAAGGCGCGAATTGAGCCACAATGACATTTACTGAACTAACTGACTTTGAAAACAGGTCTGTTTCCCATGCCGGTTTGTCTAGTTACCTTTTGCATGCTTACGATGTTATTGTATATGTCAATTCATTCTTTCTTTTTTTTTCTGCAATTTACTTGATCTTATGTTCCCCTTTGCTCTCCTTGATCTCAAAACTAAAACTGCTTTCTATGCCATCTGTTGACCTTAATAATTATAAAAATAGGCTGAGTTACTCTGACCGATCAAGTATTTATTGACGTTGTGTATGTATTTAAAGTGTAAGACGTAATATATAACATATATATTTACATATAAGACATGATGTGTTAAACATTAGAACGCTATGGCATTTTCACATTTAGAAATTGTTTCTGCGGCATGCTACAATTGAAGAAATTTAAAAAGCCATCCAACTTCTCAACACTTCACATGAAGTGGAGGTGGCATTAACATAATTTGAGAGCTAATAATGAATAAATATGTAGCAAAATGAGCAAAAGGAAAAAAACTTGAGAAGGTGAAAATGCGAATGTAAGCAAGCAATGTGAAATTCACCTGTGCTTATATTTAAACAAAGTTAAAAAGAATTTCGATTTATTCAAAATCGTAAAACTTTTTATGGAATTAATATTAGGAGCATTGCATCTTGAATCTAATAACGTAAAGTAATTACAAGAAGCATGCGTAATAGAAATAGTTCCAGAAAGGAATTTCTATAAAGTTATTCCGACGTATGTGTCTTATTACGTGATCAAAGCCATACATGTCTTCCCGCATATGTGTTGACCAAAAGTGGCATCGTATTTTTTAGGTTTTCTCAGTTATCTCTACTCTTTTTGAAAGCTTTGATATTATACAGGAACAATGTGAGAACTTCTGAATGTTCTAGAATGTTTTAAACTTTTCAGACGATCTCACGTTTGAAAAACGGTCCATGAAGTATTGCATTGAGAAAAACTATGTCGGAGATGTTTTTGAAGAGGAGGGGGTTTACAGCATCACCGGATGATCTTCGGCCAAGAACTATGGGACATCACACTTAATGATTCCTGTGAAATTCTTCTTCTCCTTCAGGCATCTGACTAATAGAAATTTGTCCGCATTCATGCAACTTACATCCCCATCGTTTTTTTCTTGCACTTTCAGGGAAGCTTTGTATCATTAACTTTTAGCTTCACTAAAAGCCTTTCCGCCCACTTTTCCGTCTTTAATTTCAAACCGATTTTTTGTTACCTTGCACCAAAGCTATGGAAGGACATTTTTTCATGGCTTTGCCAAATGTTAACCAAGCTATCTCCGCTATTGTAATGTAAAAGAGATCGACATAGATCTTGTAAGCGGAATCCGCTATTCAGGAAAAAACTTGTGGTACAAGGTATGTTAAGTTTATATACATATATACAAATACATACAACACCCAGAAGGACTTGAGATAGCCTCATTTTGTATTCACTTTGTGAATCTATGTAAGCCTGCGTCTCCGTCTGAGAGAGGTCCATCTATTATTCTTCTGTTCAGTCTACAGGCTACAATTTTTTAGTTATTCTGATAAAATTTGATACACGTACGAGTTTTTACCCAAAGACGAAAAATGGTTCGGATTGGACAACTCTTTCGACTATTTGCCGTATAACGCTTTATTTTGATTAAGCGATTAATGGTGTAGGACAGATAATGGTGGACTGTGGCCTGCTATAATCGTTTTATTTGTTTTATTAAAAAAAGTAGAAGAAAAAGTTTTATGTAAATGGATTAGAAAAAAAGCAAATATCTGTGGCATTGTAAGCATAAGCAGCTGAGTAGGGAAAGGATCGTAACGAACAACTCAATGCCCGTGGGCTTAAATTTCAAGTGCGGTAGAGTTTTCAATACAAACGAGCATATGGTCTAAGTTATCCGGCAGCTTACGTAGTCAAATAAGAAAAATAAATAATTTTGCGATCCTATGTTTAGTTCATAACATTCACATATGCAATTTGCCAAAGTATTACAATTTGTCGATTGTAACAATATAGCAAAATAACATAAGAATCTTTGTTAATTTTTATTTAAACTGAGTTTTGAACAAAATGTCCTGGAAGAGTAACCTTTACTCAACTTGGTAACGGATACGACTTGTATAACTCAAATTGCGCACGGATAAGGAGATTATTTTCTCGGCATCGTAGTATTTAACTTGCCGTAAATTATCTAATTACACTGTTAGACTCGCACATACACATAAAAAACAAAACCACTGACAAATTTATTGTATTTCGTTTGAAGGAGAAAACCATAGTAAAAAAAAATACAAATCAACGTTTAAACCAGTAAGAGTTCTTCTGCAAGTTTCTTGTTAGTAATTTAAAGGGAGAGTTATGTTAACATATGTAAGATTAGTACGTGTTGCCTGCCGTCTTTGCTGCTACTGATTAATAAATTTGTGTTTAGGTTTTTGCTTGTACTTACACTGGTCCACTCTTCAACCTCCCATTTTGGACATTCTTCCATTATGCATTGCTCTTGGGTTGGTGGCTTCGGCAAGGGACACATTATATCTGCAACCTGAAAAACAAGTGCAGCGATCGAAGATTAGCGTTAACGTATAAAATGAAACTCAAAAGCAAAATCTCACGTACAACGAAAAAACAAAAAAAATAAAAATTCGTGGAAAAGCGAATAGAGGAAATAATTATAGTTGGTTTGGATTACAATTTCGGAAATCTACTATTGATTTATAGCAAGAAGTCTTCAAGAAACGAAAAGGAATTTTATGTAAGAGGAGTGTTCAAAAAAAAAAGGTTACTTTTCAAATATCGTAGGTTACGTACATTCGAGGAAAGAAGCTTTCAGTTGAATTGTCGGAATTATTTTTTCAGGTATTGTTTGGAATTTGATTCTGGTTAATCAATCCAAAATCTATTAACAACAACGCTTTCAAATTTTTTCTAGTGAGGAAATAAAGTCGCTCTTTTCACCTTATTTGTGGAACGCATTAAGAAATATTTGTGTCAAATTCCAATTCTCTATTGAGCGATTTTGAGAATAGCAGTTGACAGGTGTTCGTAATTGCACTCTATGTTATCTCTGCCGTAGCTTATAACAGAAATGGTCAGCCGGGTACTGTACTTCCTTGCACACACTTTTTTACTATTTATCGTGCCATGAATATTGTTTTCTTGGGGAAATAATCCGGGAGAAGGACGGACATATTTTATTGTTTCCAAGGTAAAAGCTTTTTGTCCGAAATCTCGGAGACTTCTTTCTAACTGTTTTGCAATTTTGTATATATTTACTCCAAGCCAACTTAATTGCTTCCGTAGGTTTAGCTACATTTTGATTCAATTTAATCCAATCAAAAACATAAACTATTATGGATTATGTATGTGCGATTGTGCTTCGCTCATGGGCCAGAACTCGGATCTTCAAAAGCAAACGAACTATGGTAAGGAATAACTCTAATAATGGATCTTTATAGTTTGTCTTTAAGAAAAGCAGAGCTTGGGAATTTTGCACGGTGTTCTTTAATCACTACTTTAACATTGGACATTTTCTTAAAGTCTACAAAAAGTTACCATACTACCGATTTATTTAAGCGTGGCATTGATTCATTTTACAGTAGAAATTATAGATCAATTTCTTCAATGCTTTTTATACCCCTCCGATGAAGGATAACGTTTGCAACTCCCAAAAGGAAGATTTGGAAAATCCAAAAAAAAAATATATATCTTGATCAACATCAAATTCTTACTAAACTTATTAAAGCGTGTCCGCCCGCCCGTCTGGTTGTGTAAGGGCAGCGGTAAAAATTCTCTTGGTCACAATAAGGAAGGTGTCTGCATCAAACTTGACAGACATGTGAAGGTCGGTATTGAAATTAGGCCAAATAGGTTAGAGGACACGCTCACAGTAGAAGACTTCCTTTTTTCAAAAATAGAAAAAATTTTGGTTGTTGCTCGTTACCTATAAATCACAGTAGACACAACGAGAAAAATTCGCATGGAAATGGAAAAACCAGCCACGCTTGCTCAATGTTATAGAATATTAAAATATCTGTCTTCTATGAAAAGGCTTCCACCGTCCGGAAAGAAGCTTCAGGGACCCTATTAAATCTACATATAATCGATCAGTATCAAATGCGAACCATTCTGCGTCTGTTTCTCAAACCGTCCGTCTACCTAATGATTGCTTTGGACTTGCGGACTTATGATCGCAAAAATAGATATATCTCCTTAAAGCACACGATATAAATTTCGACTTTTATTGAGAAAAATAACAAAAATCAGCCACGCCCAACCAACATTACAGAATATAGATAAAAATTTATTTTTTTTTTTATTTTTTTTGCATTATTTTTTTTTTTAAATAACTGTAATGGATATGAAAGCTTCAATCGCAGCTGAATATAATTTTCCTACCTGTTTTTTTTGTAATAGCAGTCCCTATTAGACTGAATAGCCTTTAGGTATACTTTGCGAATATTTCAATAAAATTAAAGCGCTAAAAGTAACTTAAAGAATTTTATTCTCCTAAAAGTATACCGAATCTTTAATATGGAATGCATTCAATTTCTATTATCTTAATTGATTTGCAGGTAAGTGTAAACATATAGAGCCACGTTTTTTGAATATGCAACTAAAAGACTTTTAATGTGTTTATAGAGCGCATGCGTACACGGAATTAAAACATTCATATGACTACTTGGTAGTAATTACTATTAATAAAGAAATCTTTTTTACTTATCCCAACAATAGCGATGCTGAGTAATTATAAAAGTTTTATATATATATATATGTATTTTTTTTTTTGAAAAGCATAATTCTTGGTCCCTATGTATGGTCTTCTGTTGTAAGCATTTCTTCTTTACAAATTTATTTCTTTTATTTTGTATTTGTGCTCACTGCCCACTTCTTTGTTTACTTTACTTATTCTATTCTTTTAGCTGACGAATATGGACGTCTATGGTTATTTCTATTTTAGTAATTGTTCTAAGTAGTGCTTTGTAGTGGTGTAAATCCTAGAATTGTTGACACAATTCTTTCGTTACTGTCAACGTTCTTGCTTAGCTACTTTTACTTTAAAATAGCGATTGTTGCAGTTTTTTATATACATACATATACATATGCATTTAATGCTTTACTTTACTTACTCGTGTTTTTATGCCATTACTTTCTTCTGCACAAACCACCATTCTTTCGCGTACTCCTGGGCCGCACAAACGACTGCAAGGACTCCATTCATCGGCAATCCATCTAAAAAGTTATACGAAAGAATAAACATATGTGGGATATAATTAATAAGTTAATGCATTAGACCCTTTAGAAATCTGCAATTTATCCTTCAATTTATTATAATTTATCTACTTAATATTAACTTGTCCTTATACTCTACGCGAATTGTGGTACATATGTACACTAAGTTGGTGCGGATGTATGTAACACTCCTAAGGGTTTAAGATAGATCAACTTTTTACTATACCAATCGATTCAGAATCACATGCTGATTTCAAATTAAACTTGTCTGTCCGTCCTTCTGTCGTGATAATGGGTCTTCAATCTGTAGGCAGCAATATTTTTGAGTTATTTTGATGCAATTTCGTACATCGACGTGTTTGTGTGCTTACGTACAACACCCAGGAGGACTTGAGATAGGCACTCCTAAGCTTGTCTGTCCGATTTTGCCGTCTTGTATTCCTGTCTTCAATTTGTAGCTGGCAATTTTTGAAATTACGTACACTGACCTAATGACGAGTGCTATTGAAAATGATTCAGAATTCAACTAGTTTTCATGGAATGCCTCATTTTGAAAAGAAGTTATATGAATAAATGTAGGTAGGTATTTAATGGTGCGCCTTGTCTCTCTATGGTTGTTCTCTTGTTTTTATATCAAATGAATTTGTAATTATTCCAAAAATCCTTAGCATTCAACTGCTGTTATTGTAATTTTCATTCATTTTTCTACTTTTCAACTTTAACTCTGGAAAATATTTCAGTTTCAGACCAAACCATTAAATTACATTTCTGTGGTTTTTTAAATCAAGCCATTAAGTGCGCTTGGTTGTGAGTGTGAAAGCGACAAAAGCCTTTAAACCAGACACTGTCGAGCTGTCAGAGACTTATTCAGATATGCATACATATGCTTATGCATATACCATACCAGAGATGAACACATCCACGAGGAACAACCACAAGATGTTGCATGTTCAAGATTTTACGGTAAAATAAAATTGTGAGAAAGCAGACAACACTTACCGTGGCGGGCAGGTATGTGTATTACATAATTCTACTGTTGGCTCCGGACGATTAGCTGCATTGCATAGAGCATCTTCTACATCGGTACCAGTGACACGATTACGACACATAACCCGAGACATCTTATAACCTAATGGAGCAACAAACAAATATGAGCAAATAACAATTTATATATCTGTGTGTGTGTGTGTGTGTGTGTGCTTGTATGTTTGTGTGCTTCTGTGTGCCTGTGCGACTGTGTGCCTGTGTCTATCTAGATTTTCGAGGGGGAGAAATCAAAATGTTACAAACACAGTTTTCAATGCGATAACAATAAAATTAATGAAATAAACCGGCAGACATGACATGAATGAATGAAAAGATAAAGAAATTTAAATACATATTTAAGAAAAAAAATTAAAGTTTACTTATTTACATAGCTATACAATTGTAGAACGGATTTTACGAATATTTCATTCTTTCGTGCATTCATTACTCAACGACTTAGACGACGCGGCATCATCTGCATAATTGCGATTCATCAAATATATTATGGAAAGTTTTCGATTCTGTGAAAGGCTTGTCTTCTTCTAGTTCACCTCTTTTGAAAATTTTGCATCAATTATTTGATTCACGCGTAACACATAAAATGAAATCTTTTACTAATCTACAGATTCAGAAATAATTGGAATCATTAGAATATAGAAATAAATTTCTTATTATCGATCGTTATAATGAAAACGAATAAAGGGATTGTCTTCTCAGTAAAGAAACTCCCTTGAAAGTCAATTTTCTTTGTTTTTGGCAAAATTTTGAAAAATATGTAAAAAATATAAAAAAACAAAACTTTTACCTTAGCTATTTTAGTGCAAAGAGTTGTTCTTACTGCTGTAATGCATTCATCGCATCCTATCAAAGGAATATTTGCTATAACCTCTTGTCTAGCCATATAGCAGTAATTTAGTTGCCTATATATATATGTCTACGTGTACGTCTACAAAAAAAGGTTGTAGAGCGTAGAGACACAAATATTTAACACACGTATGCGTTTTGTATTATCTTACGTCCGTAAGCATTTAACATAACGTTCAGAACGTTCGGAGTTTTGTATAAAGAAAGGTTAACAAAAGCCTCTACAATGTCTGTTAGTTGACTCTTTTAACCTGTGTACAGGCATTCTTTTTTTATGCTCATCACCGAAGGATGAGGAGTATATTCATTTTGTCAAAACGTTTTGCAATGCCTAGAAAGGAACTTGAGAGACGCCACAAACTATATACATTCTTGATCGGCAACAAATTTTGAATTGATTTAAGCATATCCGTGTCTAATGTCTGTTGCAAATATTCTTCTGGTCGCATAAATTAAGCTATCGACGTCATGTTTGTTGAAAACATTGAAAGGTTCTTGTATGAAAGTTGGTATTGAAAATGGCCCAAATGGATCGAAGGAAACGCCTGTGGCACCATGTAAACTAAGAACACCTCTATGTTTCATAACGCACGGAAACAATCCTCAAAAACGGCATAAAGTATGCAAATTCTTGACCAGTTTCATATTTGAAATACATCTACATATGCCCGTCCGTCCGTGCGTCCAACTACGTAGTATCTGCGGTAAAGATTCTCTCGTTAGCGAAAATTAAGATATCGGCAAATTTGCAAATGAATATAGAAATGACGCAAACTTTTTCAAGGACCCGCCTGAAACGTCCACATACCTAGGCGACAAAAACTTTTAATTTGAAAACCGGAAAAAATCAGCCGCGTCCATTCCATCTTAGATAGTATGAGAATTTAGTTCTTTTGTTTGTCTTTTTCAGGATAACGATGACGGGTATAAAAGATTCGATGACGATCGAATATAATTTTCTTACTTGCATTTTTTATTTTCTTTTTGTGTTTTGTTTTAATCCGTACGGGTGTGTTTGAGTTTGAGTCTAGTTTGAATTTTGTCAAGTTTGTTGCCATTAATGTTAAAAGTTGTTGTGTTATTAATATAAGCCTTCGGCAAATCGATGCTTAAACGCCAAGTAATCCTTAGAAATGAAAGATTCACATATACACGTATCATACAACTGTGTATTATTACACCAGCAAACGATTATTTATATGCTTTCCTTATTTACGACAACAACTCCGGGCGAGTCGTCGTCTTCTTATGTAGAATGCCATAGAGCGCTCTATTCCTTAACTTTAACTGAATGTAACCCTAACAGTTATTCGCTTTTCTTTCCTTTGTTTCACGCTTTATGGTAGATTCGTCGTTTCTCTATGTAATGTATATGCACAATATATGTACAATATAAGCATTTATTTATTGTATGTATTCATATGTTTTTTAGTATATATAACTGTATATGTTCGCTCCATATGTACAGTTGCGTGCATCTGATTAGAAACAATGGAAAAAATTTTTAATTATATTTTATTGAAAAATTTAGAACAAAGCGATTGTTTATAGTAGTTTTAAAAACTCCTAAAACTTGCTAGCAACATACGGACAGAAATTGCGCAAAATTTAAAAAATTTATTTGCCAAAACAATGGAGTGAAAGTAACAACTTTTCGTATAAATCACATCGAACTTCTGCTAGTAAAATATACTCCATCGCTGCATTCTTATGCTGATTGGTACCTTCAACTTCTTTCTGTTGTGCTTTCTTGGCAATCACAACTTCGGGAACCGATAAAGTTCATACTTAACCTGGTGGTCGTAGAGATACATTAAGTCAGGTCGTAAGAGATACATTAAGCTATTGATGATTTATATGATAATTTTCTAACACAACAGTGTCTTGATAACGCTACTGCACACATCATTACTCAATAAGTTCGCAGGGTGGCATGCGGATGTGGAGTGACAATCGGCGACTTCTTACATAGTAACAATCTCTAAATCAAATTAGCCAACCAATTTTTATGACATTCCCAGCATTGGTTTACAGGCGTTTTAGTGACGCTTTGTTTTTGTACAAGAATGGGAAAATCCGAATACGCTTTGTATTTGTATCCTGCATAAACCAATGGAAACATTTGAATTTTGCGTGTAGCACCACGCTAAAATAATTGTATATTGTAGACTAATTATCGTAAAATCATGAAACTTGGACATATATTCACTATTCGTCTCTATCTCATCCTATGGACTTATGGAGTTATGCGTTATATATATATATGTTATATGACTGCGTTCACGTAGTAAATCTGCAATATTTTACTGCCTTCTGCGCATGGGATTTTTGTTGAAATATAAAACTTTTGTTCAAACCACTATTTCCTGATAAATATTAGAGAGCAAGCAAAAGTATGACTAAAAAATACACTGACTGAATGTGTCCAAATTCGTTGTCGTGCGTCAATGTTGCTTGTCAGCTACCTTTTATACCTTTTTATGAAAGAAGGCAAATGTGGTGCTATCTTTTAAGCATATTTCCAGGTTGAGAGACGTTGAGCCCTAAAAAGAATGTGTAATCACTTGCATTGATTCAGGTCTCTCAAAAGCAAGCTTAATGAGTAGTAGCTTTATATTAAAATTGGACCATTGTGATGAAGCAAACAATTCATGTATGCTGGTATGATTGTTAAGCCTTGTAAAGATACGATTACCATAAGCAGAGTTATAGTTAGGAACAGGTATAATTTGTGATATCGGAGAAGACGTGAACAAGTTCAAAAATTTACTTCGTTTCGAAAAAATCTTACTAATGTTTCGTGAGAAAAGCTAATCTTTTCTATGAATTTTTTTTAAGGGAAAAAATATCAATTATGATAAAAAGGACCCATAATTTTACATATGTAAAGAAACAGATTTGCATTAATCAATAAGTTAATCTTGGTACGAGGTTTGGCTATATCAACCAAATGGGAGTTAATTTCCATAATAATAACCGTGAATACCATGTGCTGGAAAGTCTTACAAAAGCCTCGCAAAAAAATTGATTTTATTTATAAAGGGCCTCGGCACCATTGGTTTGAGTCGGCTCTTCACGCTTCATCTGAAGATTTTTGTTGAGATTGAGCAGGTGAATGGGATTCCAAAGTTTCTGGGCATTGTTTCCAAGTTAGGACATTAAGTTTATTTTCATACTGAATTTGTTAAGGCGAAACGGTTTTCAATAGTCTGCTACGTTTGTATGCCGATTGCCAAGCTTTATTTATATTCGTATAGCATTTTTTGCCTTACATAACCTACTTAGGTTGAGGCTCTCCGTTATCAAGGCAAACTGATGAGAATACTCAGTTATAGTTATAACATTTATCTGATTTTCTTATTCTTACCGGTATATATATTTCTCAGAAGCTGAAATCGTCTTTAAAGCCAAAAATAGAAAAACTTACACTTATCTCTCTACTGTAAAACTGGTGTTGCCACCTTGTTTCCCGCCTTGTGAAAAAATTCTTTGAGTTTATGGTGCAGATGTTTTATCCAAATTAGTAGCATGTAAAGGATTTACTTGTTTCCACTTTGGAAATTAGGGACCCATTCTGATCAACCAAGATTGATAACATTTTTTAAAAAACTAGTAAAGTCGTCACTTCACTTATTTAATATCATTACGAAAGTAAATATCAACGATCGAAAGAAAGTGTCGAACACTTTGCGTAAAGTTGGGTACAAAAAGAATTTTGATATTTTGGTACTAAAAAATTTAAAGGATCTTATTCCCATTTGCATATCCTTACCGAAAGGATCTAATTTTAAAGAGATCGATAAGGGAGGATGTGAAGTGGGTGACAAGCGACAATAATGTGCGAAGAAGATTATGGTGCAAGATGGATGAACTTGCACAAACAGAGGCAAAGAATTGTTCATAGGAACTGTAATGTTTTTTGTTCGGAACGTTGCTAAACAATTAACTTCTACTGTCAATAACTAATGCGATTAAAGCGCATAATTAAGGTAAAGAACCTCTAGGAGAACACTCAGTGTCGGGATTGGATGATCCAGCCGCTTGGTTTTATGCCTTATATTCTTTTTAAGTGTCCACGTTTTGCGCAACGTTCGTTACATATTTCAAGTTTAGTAAAAGTGTTTTGCATCTAATTAATTGCACGCGACTGTATGAACCGATATCTTCAGTCTTGGAACAAATCTATCTGCACATACAAAAGCTCATACCTAAATACATAAATAAATACATGCACTTATA